ACCCATTCCCAGGGCTGGTAGAACCCATTCCCAGGGCTGGTAGAACCCATTCCTAGGGCTGGTGCAGCACCCATTCCAAAGGCTGACAGATCCCATTCCCAGGGCTGGTAGAAGTTCCCTCAAGGGAAGTTCAGGTTGAATATCAGGGAAACTTTATTCATGGAGAGGGTTGTCAAGCCCTGGAATGGGCTGTCCAGGGAGGTGGTGGAGTCACCACCCCTGGAGGGTTCTCAAAGCCGTGTAGATGTGGCACCTGGGGCCGTGGGCGAGCGTCCTGGTCACAGAGGCCGGAGAAGCTCCCGGAGCATCCCTGAACCCCCAGAGCTGCCCAGGCTCGGGGGGCAGGGCCGGAGGCAGAGCCCTGACGGGGTGTTCTCCCTGCCCAGACCTGGACGAGTGTGCAACCGAAGAGCACAAGTGCAACCTCAACGCCAACTGCGTGAACACGCCCGGCTCCTACCGCTGCGCCTGCCGCGAGGGCTTCAACGGTGACGGCTTCTCCTGCTCAGGTGAGGCCACGGGCAACAGGAATGTGGCCTGGGACCTGGAATTATATCCCAGTTATGCCCCAAAAAACCCCCCACTTTGACAAGGGCACTGACAGTTTCTCTTTAAGTGTAGGTAATGAATAGACTTGCATGTTTGAAGGCTTAATTAAAAAGTCGTCGTGAAAGAGTTGGTGGGGTGGTGGGATGTTCTCATCCAAGCTGCAACAGCTCCAGGGGGGTGTTTAAGCCCCTCACAGCTCATTATGCAGATGTAACAAGCCTTTAGGGATTGTTATTTCTCACTGTTCCAAGTCGCTGGATATTCCCTGGAGCTGCTCTCCCAGACAAAATAACTCGCTGATCCCAAGCCATTTTCCTTCCTTTTTTTTTTTTCTACTACTTCAGCTCAAAGAGTTGTTTGGAATATTTAATTTTGCTTCGCCTTATCGCAGCTTTACTTGAAGAAACAACACCACTGGAGGAATTCCTCCTGGGCAGACATGTCATTCTCTTTTCTGAGTCCTCTTCCCTGCCAGCCTGGGGCATGTGTCTGGCCTTCCCCCAAAATCCCAGGTGTCCCCCAAAATCCACAGCAGCCCGACTGACACCTCAAATACCTTCAGCAGGGATCCACCACCCCTTCAGCAGGGATCCACCACCCCCTCAGGAGGTGTTTGGGGAGGATCAAGGCAATGAGGAGAACTGCAACCTCCTCCCAGAAGAGGGGCTGAGGGTTGGACTGGGTGATTCTTGTGGGTCTCTTCCAACTCAGTATATTCTGGGATTCTGTAATCTAAACTGCCACAGGAGCACCTTTCACAAGGTACTTGCTCAGTTCAGAAATGTCCCCCTCTGCTGCAGTTTATGTCCCTGATGAATGGGAGGTTCCACGGGACGAGATCACTCTCCTCCGGGAGCTGGGACAGGGGTGGGATGGGCTTGTGGGAATGTTGAGGGTGAGTTGAGGGAG